ATGTAAGAAGCTACGGCAGCAGATCCCAAAATAGGGGTCTTGACTCCAACAAAAAAGTCTGAAATCTTGCAGGAAAGATCACTGCCCCTGAAAATGGAGCATCAAGAAGAAAAGTTTGGAAACTCCTGAGCTAAGGGCTTTTTCTCCAAGAATCTGACAACTTTCCTTCTCAACTGAAAGCTGTTTTGCGACACAAATCCTATATCGAGGTACTGGCCTTTGTAACTCTATATTCCTCTGCAGTATAAGGAGCAGCAGGACAAACACAAGCTCCTGTAGGAGTGACCTGGGTTATCAGGCAAGTCTGTGATTAGACCTGCACAGAAAATGGAATTTTGTCTACAGGGAAACGACACTGTCCAACACTTCCCAAGCAAAAGCACTCTGACTGTATATTCCTGTCCTCCTCTTTGCCTCTAAGTGGTTACAACAGGCACTACTGACTGGGGACCAATTACAGGGGCCAGTCCAGGCACCAGTCCTTAGATATTTCCTCTGTGCATGTCTCACGTTTAGCTGTATGGCATTGAGGCAGCCTGGACTTGGAAGGTAAATCACAAAATTAAGAGCAGAACACCAGAACATTTTTCATGACCTTTCTAATGAAGATATTCGGGTCTCAAAATGTTACTAGCTGAAAGGACACTCAGGCCTTTTCTTTTCTAACAGCTCTGTGGTGGGAATACGAATGACTCTGCACCACCACATAAAAGATATAAATATGAAAGGGAGAGAAAAATGGTTTAGGTCAGTCCAAATGCATCTCATTAAGGAAGAAATAACATCAAGAAAAACAAAATTAAGGGTTGGGGTGAAGGACTGTGTAGCTGAGAGTGTGACATTCCATATATAATTCTCGCCAAGAAAATGGCTCATCTTACATGTCTTTGCATGCGGGAAACATGCAAAACAACCGCAAGATTAGATGCCTACCATCATGTTTTATTGTATATATGCATGCCTCCTAGTGAAAAGAGCCACTGATTTGTGAGGCTACTTCCCTTTCTGTGGTTTTCTGAACCTCTGCTGATTTCCTCTTGGGGAGCTTTTAGATTGTGTCCTTACTAAAATGGAGGCTCAGTGTTCCCCTGGACCCTCGCATGGTTAAGCACTTAGCCACTGCCACAATGGGAAACACCTTTTACAATTCAATTTGATCTTTCTCAAGGATTACTAGAAGCACCTACTCTCACTGTAGCAAAATGTTAGGCTGCAATAAATGATTTCACCATAAGAGGTTTTAACTGTCATAGGCATCAAAATGGCTTTGCAATGGTTATGAGTAGATTTAACTCAGAAGTTTGACAGTCCCATGTGCTCAACAGCATACTGAATGATTCAGTAATGATAGTGTACATATCTCCCCAGGGGACCCCAGTGTGAAGATGCACAGACACTTAGAGCTCACAGCCCCATCCCCAGAAACAACGAGGCATCTCACTCCCTTGGCTGCATATGGGCAGGGAACCAGCTTTTCTTTCAGATCACACTTAGCATCAGTGAGTGAAGGAACCAGGGATGATTACACCTCACTGCTGGAGGTATGTGACAAGTCTCCCCCCCTTCCTTCACCTCACGTTGCATTAACTGTCTGCAAGGGGATTTTTATGCCATTTGCAAAACTGTGGCAGTAGAGATAAGCAGCAAGGTGTGGCAGGAAACATTATCAGAGGAACAGATACACAGCCCACAGCTGATACTAGACTAGGGTGCAAACTACCTGTTTTATGCCTGTGTTGCAAAAGGCAACACCTCCTACAGCACAGTACCTGTAAGCTGGGGTGCTGGAATGGGTCCAGAAAGGAAAGGAAGGATTTTCCAGCACACCACCACACTTCAGATGATGCCTGGGGCATGGAAAAGGAAACCACCTTGCTCTGTTTAAGATAAAAGCTTATGCTGAAACAGGGTTACTTCGAGCTTGGTATCTGGAGCAGGTGCATACATTTGGCTGGCTTTCTTGGTGAGTGCAGCATTCACAACTGGAGACAGACTTTTTCAAAAGAGCTGATATCTCATTTGGGCAACAAACTTTGTGTCCAGGTTTTCAAAACAGAGCTCCTCGTGCTGGGAGTGAGCATGTTTTAAAAACGGAACCTGTAATGACAGTCACTAGAAGTCTTACAAGTCAGCACTACAGGTGCTCAGCATCTGTGGAGGTAGCAGCATGTGTTAAACACTCTTGAGTGGATGTCTCAAAATTCCTCTTGCCCTCTCTGGGACACAGGGCAAATTCCCAGCCACTTAAATGACTTCACATATTCAAGCCCACCGGTATGTAGATAAATATTTCTATGTTTTAGACTACTAAAATGCAATTAAGATGCTTTCTAGGTAGACCTGAGTAGTGAGAAGTTTTCTGGAGGAGGTTTTGGAAGTAAATACTTAAACTACAAATTTCTCATAGAAATTTGATTTCTTCAAATAGATTTCAAAGCAATCTTTCACTTAGCAGCAGAACATGATTTATTCTGCATATGGACCTGTGACCAATCCTTCTGTCCTTCCCAAATGCCTCCCTACAATTGCTAACACAGGGAAATCTGAAGTGCTCCAGCTGCCAGATGAATCATATACATGCTGTACACAAGTCATGCAACACAATTCCACTTCTGAGATTGTGATAAATATGGTTTCACAAGTAATTCTTCTGATATGGCTTACAGAAACCATAGCAAACACAGGGAACATACACACTAGACATCAAGGTAAGAGATGCCTGAGAAAGTGTGTGTGCAATTAACTTCCCTCTCGATGAGGATATGGCCAGTGAAAGAACTCTGACAAATGCAGGGCTGATATATGTCAGAAGACAACATGAATGTGAATAATGAAAAACCATTTCACAGGCTTCTAAAACTAAAATGGCCAGCTCCTGTAAAAATGCTGGAGGAAGAAATAGGTAAGTGTGGGCCCAGGAAAGTCAGCTATAAAACAAAGGAGGTTCCAAACTCAGTTTGAATGATTCTATACAAAAGGAAATTTCAGAGAAACCATACCATATCTGCTCTGAAAGATTATTTCTTCAAGGTGAGGTCTAGTTTGAGTAGAAAGTGCCAGAAACATTTCCACCAGTGACAGCTAAAAACTACAGAGAGATGCAAAGTACACCTGCGGTTTTTTAGTAACTATGTTTCCAATTTTATAATAGCGAATACAAAACTTTTCCTTAACCAGTACAAAATAAGTTTCTTTCCTAGGAAACTAGTTCGGTTTTCAAAGCAGCCTCTGTTAGAGCTGACAAGTGCTTCAAACCATGAACACCTTAAAGGAGTGAACTTGAAATAAATCAGCCATACAGGTGAACACATTGGATGCCTGCAAGCAAGGCAGGCATTACAAGAGAGTAATCCCAGACATGCATCCTACTAGATTGCAACAGTCAGTGTGACAGTGGATACTGCCTTCAGAATGACTGCACCTGCAACCGGTCCTACTGGGGCTCTCCAGACAACTCTTGGACAACTCCCAAGCGCAGAAAAAAGTCCTGTTTTTCATGCCTTCCTAATTATTCCTAGTCACTATCAATGTTTTGTGCTTCATGTTGTCTTCCACCAAAAAAATCCCATGATTTTTGGCAAAAACTGTTGCATCAGTGAGAGGGTTCCCCCTAAATTCAAAAAGACCTTGATAAAACCATTTGTTAATGATTCCAAAAACTTGTAAGGACTGTGAAAATTCTGCAAAAGACATATGGAATATAGAAAGACTCAAAACAAGCGCATGTTAAACATTTCCAAAATGTTCCAAGTTTTGGAATGCTAAAATATGTTGGAGCATTCAAACATTTCCAAAATGTTTTAGCATTTTTATGCATACAGAAACTTTAATCAGAATATTATAATCCAGGACCCAGAAGTGAATATTGCATGCCCTGATAGGGGACTGCCAGTCTCCCTTTCCAAATGAGAAAATCTTCATCCTTATTAACTTCCAGTATGTGCTATCACATCAGAAACTTAAATTTATCTCATATATAAATCTTCCTAGGAAACTTTTTGGGAAAAATACACATTAAAAAAAAAAAAATTAATTTGGCAGGGAAATCTGACACTCTTCTGCACATGTATGGCTATTTGAAGCAGATCATGAGTTTGCAATTTATTATTTTTGATCCTGTCTGCAATGAAGAAAATGGACTCCTGAGATCTCTTCCAACCTTTCATTTTTGCTATTCTAATACTGGATTGATTCCCAGGCAAATGAATTACTGGATGCAATGCAGGTTAGACACTCCATGGTACATAATGAATGGAAGGTTTATTACTATTTATATATACAAAATTTGTGCACGTGGCTTTACAATTAGCTCACGGGTTTAACTTCCAGACGTGTACGCAGTAGAAAAGAGAAAAAGCAAGGTTTGTGTCTGTGCTCATAAATTCTTTCCATGTAAGATTTGTCTCCTCTTGCTCTGTCCTTGACTGAGTTTTCCCTGCCCATAGTCCCAGGAAGGCACAGGTTTATTTGAGGAATTACTCCTACCCTGTTGTGGTAGAACAAGTCCTATTGCTGTGATTTGCCACGAGTATTGAGGGGAAAAGAGAAAGCCAAGGGCCTACAGTATGAGTCCTCCCCTGGTACACACCTGTAACACATTTCCACAATAGCTCAGCAGACGCCCATGTCCAAGAAGCTCTTCAAGGGCACATAGTACAGCACAGTTGAGCAGGTTTGCCAAGCCTGCTGGCACTCTGGCTCTGCCCAGGTCCTGGCCAAAAGTCTGCTTTCGAGGCATAATCCCCGAAGCATTCAACCACCAAACAAGTGGTTCCACAGGAGCTGAAGGGGGCTGGGGAAACCAGGCACAGCACTGCTAAAACAGCAGCAGCTGCTGCTCAGCGTGGGTAATTTCTCTTTACTTTCCTGCTGGGAAACCTACTCTAAAGACAACATTCACGATGGGTCTGAGTGGAAGGCTGTCAGTTGGTATTCCTCATCCCCCTCCATCCTGGTGCTTCCCCATGGCATGACAGCCCTCCTGAAATCCAAGTGTGTACCTCTTTTCAAGATGCCCGAAGAGTGGGTCACCTCTCCAGGTCCCTATGAGGGCAGGCTGGTAGGCACCTCCAGGTGCACAGGACACTGCCAGGGACAGCAGGTCTGGACAGGGTTCACCCACCTCTGCCTCCCACACCGTCCTGTCCTGGGCACCAATGGAACAGGCTGTGCAGCGTTGGCATAGCCCATGGGTGCTTGGCCCACCTGCCTTGGCAACAGGGGTTACAGGGGTGACATCACCTGCCCTGGCATTCCAGTCCCAGCCAGTGATGGCTCTGATGTCACAGCAGAGTCGAACAGCTCCCAAGCAGGGCAGGGTGGGGCCACACCTTGACTCCCTGGTGACTCCCCCAGGGGGCCTCCCCTACCCTCCCAGAGCTCTACCCCCAGAGTTACCACACACCTCATTAGCCGAGGGGTGGCTGTTGCTGTGCCTGGTCCTCACAGGGCTCCCCAGACAATGCAGAGCAAAGGCACAGATGCCACCCAAGGGGCAGTGTTATCTCAGGACGGGGAAGCAGATCACCTGAGTGTAACTAAGAGCAGTTTCCTTCCTAGGACAGGGCACGGGGAACAGCAGATAGAAGGGCTGTACCAGCACTGGCAGGTACAGTGAGGGCACAGGAGAAGCAAGAGGAAGGCTGGAGACTGCAGAAGGCCCAGAGTGGGGAGGAACAGCTCAGGTGAAGCTGATGCCATGGATGAGTGAGGAAAATCTCAGGCAGCACTCCCGCAGCAGTGTGAGTTTGGCACAGCTGGCACTGTGCTGGCACAGCTGGCCCACTGCCAGGAGAGCTCTGAGTCTCTCCTTTTCTGCTTTTCCCCTTCCCTTACAGGGAGCAGCACACCTCTTTAAAAGGCAATTCAAGCCTCTCCTCCTTAGTAGAATAAAGGTAGAGATCATAGAACCATAGAATATCCTAAGTTGTAAGGGAACCACAAGGATCATTGAGACTAACTCCATGGGACAACCCCCAGAAAATCACACCACGTGCCTGAGTGTGTTGTCCAAGCACTTCAGGAGCTGTGGCAGGCTTGGTGCTGATGGAAAGAGGGAAGGCACACTCCGGCTTTGTCTAGAATACCGTTTTAACTCACGGTAATTGCTCCCCAATTAGCCAGAGTTAGCTAACACATTTGTAAACACCAGCCTAGGCACTGCACAAACATTTGTTCTAAGACAGATATGTAAAATAGTTAAGTGGGTGCTAAGGCAATTAGGTATAATCTTATTACTTCCCTTTCCCGCATCCCCTTTTCACCCTTTGCTGGAGTGCAGACCTGAGTTCGGTAGCAGAGGACTTTTTTTTCAAAAGGCACTACAAAGGTAAACCTTAGGGCTATCTCATGCAAAACCCTGATAAGGTGCTATTAGTTCCCAGCCAACTTTCAAAGACAGAGTACCAGAGGGTTTTATAGTAACAGACATTCAATGCACACAGAATCCACTAAGTAGGTGTAAAAGCCTTCTGAGTTTCTCAATTTTGATTTATATTCTCTTTAAAAAAATCATTAGGCAGTAGATTTTCTGGTGTTCTTTATACAGACAGACCCCTCATCCCCTTTGTTATGGCTGTATTTCAAAATGTAAGGTTTCAACGTGACATTCACACTTCTGCTACTTTAGCACGCGCAGCAACACGTTCCCCTCTGATTTTATTTCAAAGATGCCTTATCAGTCTTTATATATGATCATAATGTGGAGCATATATCAACGGGATTCTTCAGAGCTGGAGAAGAATTGCAATCTCTGAGCGCTTTCACAATCCCATGAGCAAAAAAGCAGGTTAGGGTTTTCCAAATCTAGCTTCCAGCTCCACACACATATCTCCCTCCCCTCACTTGTCAGAAATCTGTAGCTTGTATCCAAAGCAGAACAGAAACTGGCATCTGGATGTAAAACATCCATTTCTGCAAGGTTCTTGGGATACAATGTAACACATTCTTCTCAGTCCAGGTCCGAATAGACAATGTAGTCTCTAAATGAGCCACTTTCTGTTTGCTCTTCTGCAGGGCTGGCAAGCAAGCTGCAAAGGGCTCACCATCAACATCCCAGGCTGTGCTTCCCTTAAGATTGAGAGCAACCACCACTCCCTTTTGCAAGTGTGCCATTTGGCGCGCTTTGGTTTGGATGACCAAACTTCATCATAGTAAAGTATTTCTTAACAAGTCAGCTCTCACGTGAATTCAAAATGACACCGATTTCACAGCTAACACACCCAGCACAAACAAATTTCAAAATTATTCACAGAAATTTTATAACATTTTCCTTCTGGGTCTGAAAGAGAGAAAGAGTCTTAGAATTCCTATCATCCAATGTTTCAGTCTTATTTCTTGAAATGCCCTAAACTGCTCAATTTCAGGCTGTTTTAGCATTAAGATGCATTTTCCTTTTGTCTTACAAAAGCCTGAGGAAGGTTAAACACCTCCATTCTTTTGCTAGAGGCTGTGCTACGTAGATCATATCTCCTGTGATTTAACTCTGCTTTGTCAGAAGGAAGCCACGATCATGTACCATTTTGCTCTTCTCTTCAAGTTAAGCTGTCTAGAGAAGATGGCAAAAATGACAATCCCCTAAACCTAATAAAGGAAAAGAAAATTAAATTAGCTTCATTTTTTTTGGAATTAATTAGAAATAAAAAGTTTGAGTCTACTAAAAATGCATATGATTTTGCTTGGGTCAAAACTTGACCCAAATTCCTCCACATTCACTTTAGTAATAACAGCATGGGGGAGGGAAGAAAAACTCTGAGAAATTGTTTTTGCACAAAAAAATTCCAAAACTACTTTAGTTTCAGCTGCCTATGGGTGCTTGGCAAAACAGCTCACCTGTGTTTTGAGCAAATGATCTTTAGCCTAGATATGCTTGGTCACACTCACCAGTTTTAGCAATAAGAAATCACTTAATTAATTTGCAGCTTTCTGTTGTTAAAGGAAGATGTCAGTCAGAGCACCTGGAAGAGGCCAGGTTTCTGCTTGCCACGAGGCGGGTAAGCTGTGGATGTTGGTAGCCAGCACTGCCCTGCCTTGCTGCTGCTGAGGGTGCTGGGTTGGTAGTGCCAGTCATGATGGGACTGTGCTATGCATGTGCATTCAAGCAAACGAAAGTAATAGGGAGAGCCACTGTCAAAAGTAACAATAACAACAAAAAAATAAAGACGAAAGAAAGGGGAAAAAAAAAAGTGCATTTTTAACCTCATGGCAACTGTCAGAAGTTATCTCAAGTGGAAAAATATCACACTGATAGCATACTTTGGTTTTACCACAAGATAAACTTGGTGATGTCAGCCTCAGGCTCAGCTAACTCTAGCTGACCTGACCTAGATTACAGTAAAAAAAAAACCCACAAAAAACCCAACAAAACAACCTGACTTTTCTGTGATTTTCTGCCTCTGTTAACCACATTACGCTAAAAAAAAAAAGACCTAAAATGCACCAAAGTCATTTCACAAAGCAGACAAAATTGCTTTCAGATCATAACAAGCAACTTGTTTTCCACATCAAATTGAAGCCTGTAACTAAGAAGTCAGCCACCATCCCCATAGACTTCCCTACATTCTTGCAATATTATGAAGCAATATATTGCCTAGATCAAATCCCTTAACACCAGGATCTACTCTGATGGTTTCTCTGGCAGATCACCAGGGCAAGTGACAGTGTCCCCAGCAGGCTGCAGGTGACATACACCGACCCCACATATATGGAAGGCCACGATGCTGTACTCAGTGTGGATGCATGTTTGAAGGAAGGAGACATTTAGCCTACTGATCTCAGAAGATTCCAGATACAACTGGTATGAAAGAGAGGTGGAAAGTGTAGTCTATGTGTGCCCTGAGACTCAGCGCCCTTGGCCCAGGCGCTGCCTCCAGTGTGGGAAACTGAATGTTGCTTTTGGGAACGAGCAGCAGCTCTGCCATTTACATACATTAATCCTTGGAAGTACAGAAGGCATTATCATTTGCCAGACTTGTTTGCATAATGAGGAACTCTCAAGAGAAATTTCTTGGAGAAGTGTTGCCATTAAGGTGCGTGTGTGATACCACGGCATTTCTATTCAGCTCCCAAAGCCTTTCTCCCCTCCCCCTCCCACTTACACCCACTCATTGGAAAGGCGAGTTCCCTGCAAGAGCTCCTCGGAGCAACGCTGTTGGATGGAGCTCATGTGCCACGTTCTCAGAAGGTTTTCAGATCCCCTGACACCCTCCACACCCAGCCCTGCTCACTCAGCCCAAGGGGTTATGCCATGCCATTGACCTACTTCCTCCTTAAGCAGGTACTGGGGCAGGCAAGACTTTTGCCTGGCTAATTCATTGTTGGTGAATAGATATAATTTTCTCAACTTTTTCCCACAAAAGGGGATTGGGCCACATTGCGGTGAGAAGGACTGGGTAAGTAAAGGAACCAAACAAAGACTGTTTTGTACATGAGATGATCTATACCCTCCTGCAGAAATATAGGGAAGGAAAGTGAGAGAGAGAAAGTAATGTTTTTGAACTACTGGTGTCCTCTTGAATCTAAGCAGTGGCAGCATGGGCAGCAGAGGGGCTGCTGTGCTACCAACGGGGAGGCTTCTGGCATCACCCTGGATGATGGACCTCAGCTCTCCCTTCTTTCTGCAGCCATGTGGTGGTCCAGAGCCCGCCAAGTCTCAACAGAGCGTGAGAGCCTATGTTGCCAGGCAGCCTAAATAACGGCCTCTAATGGGTTCGGCAGTGTTTTAAGAGCCTGAAAAATGGTGGAGGAAGCTATCCCGTTCCTCTTCCTCCCCTGCCACTGCCCCTTCCACTAACTCAGATGCATTATCAGGACTGGAAGTGCCAGCAAGCTTTTGCTTTCCCTCAGGGGCTAGCAGCACCAGGGAAGGGAACCACCGCCAGCCAGTCTCACAGGTTTCCCCATTTGTTTTCATTTTGTCATCAGATATTTCTATTTAAGCTGCTTAGAAGGATATCTCAATAAAAGCCCTGCTGGGCTCAAGGAGATAGAGGTTGACAGAGAGTATGCCTCCCTCCTTCCTCCTGAACATTACCCTCTTGCCAAAACATCTAGTCATACTGTGAAGGAGATGGGGAGAGCAGGCATGCCCAGCAGCTCTCTTCCCAATTTCCTGCCACCTTAGCTGTTGATGGAAACTGAATTGTTTATGAAGCACAAGTACCCTGCAAACCAGCTCAACAGTTCAGCAGTTAGGG